AACGGCGCGTAGAATTGAAAAGGAAGTTGAGAATGGATCAACGACCGTGGATCGATCGAAGCCACGGATTCTCGAGATCGAATGGAACGAGATCGGTGGCGCGTGAAGGGGAAGAAACGCGAAACACTCCCCGTTTTTTCTCTCTTTCTTCGTTCTCCCCGATCTCTATCCGTTCTCTCTTAGTTTCCTCGAGGCTCGAAGCGGCAATTCGGCCGTGACGAAAAATGAATTTTACTCGGTTCGAAATTGTGACGCGACGCGCGATCCGCGATAACAGAGCCGGTTGCTCGGACAGGTTAAACGAGGAGAACAATTTCCTACCGATATATATATATATATATACGTCGTTCCAATTGTCGTTGATGAACCGTTGATATCGACATTCGCCAATTAGCGAGCACAATGGGATTACTTTCGAACTTTTCTTTCGTTCGCCACTTTCTTGATACTTTTTCCACCTTGATCCATTATGATCGATCGTTTCATATATTTTTTACACGAGAAAAAAAGAAAAAAAGGAAAGGGAAGAAAAAATTTTAAAATCGAAAAATCGAAACGTACTCGAAAACTCGATCGATCGATAAAATCGATAAAATGGCGCGCACGGACGATCGTCGCGGATCGCGTTTCGCAAGCGCAATATAGCGAATTAAGAGCGGATAATTTATTTCCACGATTAATTTCTCTGTAACACGATGGTTCGGCTATTACTCCGTTTCAAAGCTCTCGAGCGTAGTGCGCGCGGCGGCGAAACGGGAACCAGAAAAACCTGTAATCGCGACTTTTCTGAAATACGAGTTCGCTCGATCTTGCCATTAATCGCGGGGCTACGCCGTTCATTACGCTCGCTTATGCGCAGCTTATACGCGCGTTACGGGGCTAGTCGGCGGGGAATGAAAATTCTTGTAATCGGGATAGCGGAACGCGAAACGTCAATTAGGAAAGCAACGGATTTCCTCGTTATTGCCGGAAATCGGTTAATCGTTATTAATTCCTCAACGTTTACGCCGTCCTTTATACAATGGGCCGCTCCATTCATGAAACGACGACGACGACGACGACGACGACGAGTCGAGAGATTGGTTCGTCGAGGAGAGAAACGCCGATATCGGTTTCCATTGTCGGTAATTTGTTCAACGGCGCGGAAGAATCGCCCGTTTTATCGATGGATCGCGGTCGATCGCTCGATTCACCGCCACTCGATAGAATCATTCGATCGTCGTGGACCGTTCTCTCGCAATCCCTCCACCAACTCGAAATCGAGCGTTCGAAACAATTTACCACCGTAGAGATCGTAAATATTAATCTACGTTCACTCGTGGCTGGATTAAAATTAATATTTCATCGTGACTCGTACGTAGCGATGTTTACGAGCGGGCCGAGAGCCACTCCGTTTTTTCGCCATCTCCTCCGAAACACGGTGGAAAGGAAAAAGGAAAGTATCGAAGGCTCGATCGTGACCCGATCGTGTGTTTTATTCGCGGTGAGGGGGGGCGAGGGACGGGGTTCGAAAAGGCGGGAATACTCGTCGTCGTCGTCGTCATCAGGGCGTGTCTTTTCCGTGCATCGCACTTTCTCCGCGCGTTGTTCGCGCGCTGGACGTTCCTTCGATCCATCCCTTCGATCGGCGCATCGAAGGATGCAATTATGCGAGAAGAAGAGACGAAAACTCGAGGCGAACTCGATCGTTGTACGCGATCGGTTACACGACGATAAAGTTTTCGCGTGGTAACACCGTGTCCCTTCTCTTCCTTTTTCTCCTTTTGTTCTTTTCGAACGTTCGACACGCTCGCTCGCTTTCTCTTCGTCGAACAAACTCCCTTCGCGCATCCCAATTATCATAAAGCGTGAATGGAATCCCTGGTATATTCGAGGGTCCTGTTATATTTCGTTACGTTTTTACGCTCGCACGAATGACGAATGCACGCCGCGCTCCTTCACCATTGTGATCGTATCGTTGCGATCATACGACTTTTCTTCTTTTTTTTTTTCTTCTTCTTCTTCTTTTCTTCCTTTTCGACGATTCCTTTACACCGCGAAATTCTTTCGAACGAAACCGCTACGAGATTGCCTCGCAAACCGTATCGTTATACCGCAAACGAAATCGCGAACGAAACGAAAGAAAATAATTCGACCGAGAAGCGTGAAATGAAAAAATGGTAATAGCTCGTTCGTTTTCCCTCGAGAACCAGTGGAAAATATGAAGCCGAACCGAGGAGGGAATTTCTTCCTCGTTTTCGATCCTTCTTCTTCACCTGGTCGAAACTATTAGCATAAAATGCGAACGGAATTCACACGGCGAGATAAACGTTCGAGGCATAAATGATAAGCGAGGACGCGACGAGCTTCTCGACGAGCTGCCTCTCCCCCGTCTTCTTTCGGAACACTCGAAGATACCGGCGTTGTAACGCGTGGAAGGAAGAATGTTCGTTCGTGACAGTCGTAACACTTTCATGACTGGATCGTTAAGTAGCGATATCGACGACAATAACGGTATGCAGCGAGCGGAATATCGATGCCTCTCCCCTTCGCGATCAACCTCGCGTCCGTTCTCCTCCAATCGAGATTGCAACAAGAGATCGCGAAGAGTTGCTCTTGAAATCTTTTCTCAACGACCTCCACGGTTTCAGAGATCGATCACCGCGCGATCGCGTTATCGGCATCGAGATCGAAAGAAAAGATTATCAACACCGAGTACTCGGTCTGAACAACCGTCTCAACTTTTTCTACGCTTTTCTCCATGATATATATATACACATCGTACATTTACATTCATACAGGTATGCGAGCCTATAAGTTATCGAAGAAACTTGGTATACACGTTCGTGTCTTGGATAGAAATACGGTGGAGGAAAGGAAGGTCGGGTGAACGAATTTTGAAGAGATGCTCAGGAACGAGGGCGCAGGGGGCCGCGTTTACCGAGCTGTCGAGAAGTGGAGGCCGAGCATCGGGTCGAGTCGGTTCAAGACTTGTACGCGTTTTGAAAAGAGCGCGGATCTTTAATAAAGCAGGACTGCATTGCACTTCCTTGAGAACACGGAGCAACACGACGATTTAAAAATGCGTTAACAGCTCGTAACGAGTACCTTTCGTGTCGGTGATCTCCGCCCTGAGAAATCTCCTCCTCCTCCCCCTTCTCTTAGAGTGTCGTCGTCGTCGTCGTCGAAAGCGAGAGATTCGTCACAGAGACGAACAGACTTCCCGGTTCTCCTCCTTATCCGAGAAACGATCTCGAGTCCTTCGAGATCGAAGTCGAGCGTCGTCGTCTCGTCGTCCAGCCTCGATATACGAATACGAGTCGTCTCGTTCGAATCTTATTTACCATCGGATAAGGAAATTTGTAATTTTTCGATAATTATGCGAATGCGCGGTGCAACTCCCGTCGTTGGAGTAAAATGATAATAAGCGTCGTAAATAGTGGCACGCAAATTGGCTCGGAACTAGAAAGTGTGCGGCCTTCGTGCGCATTTTCTGACCGAAATGATATCCTCTTTAAAGGAAAGGAAAGAAAAGAAAGGAAAGAGAGAGAAACGCGAAAGCCCCGAAGGGATGGATGGTTCGGTAGGAAGGAGCAGACGATGGAATTCCCTTTTGCCTTCGGTCGCGTTTGGAAAGGAAGGAGCGAGAGGCGGGTGGAAGAAAGACGGAAAAGACGAGTCGGAGGCCCTCCAGCTAGGCGGAGTAGTTTTAAACTAGCGTCTCGTTCTTTCTAATGACTGTCATTTACCCGGTGTCATCCTCGTGTTCCACGGCAGCAGACAACCTACGACGGCCCTTCATACTGCGCGTAATCTTTTCAATGTCCGAGACAAGACGGATTCCCGGCGTCATTAGGGGACATAAAGTGTCTCTCTCTCTCTCTCTCTCCTTGTTTCATCCACCCGGCTCTTTCTATCTTTCGTCTTTTTCGTCGTCCGCGCTGGAATTTGCCTCGACTCCTCCGCCGAGGAGGATTGCGCAGGCCAATGGCGCGCCAGGTGTGGTCATTAATTTCGCGGCGCGGAAAAAGACCGCGAGATCCGAACAAAGATTGCTTCTAGCCGGACTGCGGCTACGAAGAACACGGCCATTTTTACACGACAATTATCGTTGAAGGTGAGCCACGTCGTTGACACGAAATTACTGTAATTCCTCTTTCCACACGAATTTCTCCGACAGTTTTGCTCCTCCTCGAATACGTTTCTTCTTTCAATCGTCCTTTTCTCTTCGTCCAGATTTTGCGTGTCACGGAAAACGAAATTCCCTCGACAATTGTCTTAATAATCGAATATTTGAAATCGCCCGTTTACCACCCGTTTCGTGAAACTGTTTATCGAATTCCTAGGAGACGGAAGGAGGAGGAAGTATAAAGTATAAACACGCGTTCAGGATACGCGATTACCGGTAATTAGAGATAGTCTATCTAAAATCGGGAGGAGGCGGAAATGGGGGAAGGGGGAAGGGTTTGCCCGACCACGAGCGTGGCCGCCACCCCGGCAGAACGTAACCCAGACGCGCGTCGCTTCCACCGCAGACATGCGGCCAATAATCCGATACGCGTATATTATATTATAATTATGGAGATACGCGTCTAATCGGAGACGAAGAGAGAAATCGAAGAATTTCAATCGACGTAACGAAGCGAAAAATAGGACGATTTTCGTTGCAGATATATACGTATAATCGTAATTATTATAGCGAGAAAGACACGGTGTGGTTCTCATTCGCGTGATTTCACCGAATGTGGAACGCGTATAATGGATTAATACCGAGAAAGTAATGCTGCCTTTACGTAACGCAAAAGAGGAGGCTTTAATTAACGCGGTTGAATCCAGGATAAAATTACATCGCGGACAACGCGTGCTCGCGAATTCATTCGGTCAAATGAATCGGCGCTCCACTTTTCCGGATGGTGGACCGTTGATTCGCGTTTCTCCTTTTCCTTCTTTCAATCGCGATTGAAAATTTACGATTGAAAATCGGCGATTGAGGAATTTAAATTGGATTTTGTTGTTGGCAGGTCGGGTGGTGCATCCGGCACGGCAAGTGCCGGCATGGTCCCATCGACCGGTGGAGGTTCTGGAAATCCAACAGGAGGCGGCAGGATGGCCGTGATCGGTGTGACCAGGAACGTGAGACTGAGACGGCGTGGAGCGTCCGGATTCGGCTTCTCCCTGCGGGGTGGCAGGGAGTACGCGGCCGGATTTTACGTGAGCGATGTGCAGCCGGGTAGCGAGGCTCACAGAAATGGATTAAGGGTAAATTCCAGATTACGTCGTTGCTCGAATCAACCGTTTCCTCGAATCGATTTTCTCATCGAACGATGCGTTTTACTTTTAGTTCGTTCGTTCTTTTTGTTCCGCTTTCAGGTCGGCGATCAGATCATAAGGGTGAACGGGTATCCGGTCGAGGACGCTGTCCATCAGGAAGTCGCGCTTCTGGCAAAAAACCAGCAAGTGCTCGTTCTCAAGATTCGAAGTAATTATTCCTGCCTTTTTCCTCTCTCTCTCTCTCTCTCTCTCAATTCTTCCAATAAAGGAGCAGGCGGTAATCGACAAGTGGAATTGATGGTTTTGTTTGTTTCAGGCGTGGGAATGATACCGGTGAAAGAGTAAGTATCTACGAGGATTAAAAATCCCGCGACGCATTCGTTCACGGAACGAGTTTCGTTCTTCGTATATATATATAAAAGAATACTTTATGATTCGCAAAGCAACCCGAACGATCCGGTCACTTGGCACATGGTGCAGCAGCAACAGCAGCAGCTACAGTACAACGAGACTGGTTTGGGTAGCGTACCGAGCACCGAAGTCAGGATTCGAATTCTCGTCGGCGAGAAGGGTCGCCTCGGGTGTGGCGTTTGCAGAGGCATCGTGCCAGGCCTCACCGTTCAGGTTAACCATACCTGACATTTAATACTAATTTCGTAACGCGCTCCACTTCTTGCATTTTCCTCGAATACTCCTTCCTCGAATTCTTACGTGTAGATAATACGCGTATCGTATATAAACGAATCTCATATTTTTGAGAAATTCGGAAAACTAACTTTTCGAACGAGTCGAAGTTTTGAAATTCGTTTCAGGGTACCAGGGACGACGGGCCAGCGAGGGCAGCGGGGTTAAAAGCCGGCGACGTTATAATTTGGTGCAACGGTCAACGGCTCACCGATCTTCCATTCGAGAGAGCGATCGAGGTGATGAGAAGCTCCGCGGTTCTCGACCTGATAGTGCAACGACCCACGCCCAATCACCTTTACGACTGCCCCGAACCGCTCTGGACCCGTGGCTCGAGCGGTTACGACTCTGAAACGTCGAGCGTGGCTGCGGCCAGCCCCCAGCCCCAGCAAAATCCTTCCTACTCGCCCCAGCATCACCACGATCCGAGGATGCATCATCGATATCCCCGGGACGATGCTTACAATCGAAATGGAAGGTTGGTAGAGGAAGAACGGTATCTCTCGTCTCGTCATCTTGAAAACTGAAAGAGAGCTAGAAACCAGAGCGACGTCAGAAATTTTGTTTCGCTTTCCCGCACGATCAAGATAAATATTTGTCAAGAAGCGTCGGTATAATTGAGTGGCATGAATGTGACGTAACGTTGAATCTCCATCGTAATCCAGATTTCGTTGTAATTGTAATTAACGACGAAACCGTCCTTTGCCCAATACGTATTTTTCACCGGTTATCGCGTCACATCGACGAATTTACACCGGGAGAAAGTCGGTCTATTAATAGGAGATTCGGCGGTATAATACTCTGACCACCACTCGAGCTTCATCCTCCTCGAGTTCTTAACTCTCGCTTCGTAACTCGGTTACCATTATCCCACCGCTTCCTCACGACATTGTTTAATTGGGAGAGTTAGAAAGTTGCCGTTCGATGGAAAAATTATTAGGTTAACGCGTGCCCCCGAATAATTCTAGGATCTGTTGCCCGCTCGCTCTGTCCACCAGTAGTTGCAGTTCCGCTGAATGGCCTCACATGGATCAGGTAACCAATTTTTTTCACTGTTAAAAGAAAAAAAAAATATATATATTTATATATACATATAAATATATATATATATATATATATATATGTATCGAACAGGCCCAAGAGTGGACGCGTAAGCCAAATAACACGACGGTGATCCGTATAAATCAGAGCCAGAACCAAAACCATAGGTATCCGGCCGGCCGTTTGAACTCGCGTGGAAATTACGAGGACGACATCGACAACGAGCCGCTCTACGACCCCGTAGCGCCTAGGATCGATTACGAGGTCCACGACTTCGACGCGAATCCGAGGGACGAAGCGAATCGCCGCTTGGCTTATCGAAGGGACAACATTCGACAGCAGGACGTCATTTATGATGGGCCGGCCGACGACATTCCTCCCTATCATGGATCCAAAGTGAGTCCAAAACGCGCCCACGAGAGAGAAATATTCTTCGTGGATGATTAACGAGGTTTATTCGAGTACCTCGAGTCTACCTTTTACCTCGAACGACTTTTGATCATCCCTTATTATCAGATCGAATTAGCGTGACGATCGACGAGGAGTACGTTCGTGTGCCTCTTAAGGAGACAACTTAATTAACGAGAGAAACGACCCCCTGTACCGTTTCTGATTCTCTTTACAAAGATGGATCGTAAACGGGTGTCGTTTCTGTTCGCAGGAGAACGGCGCACAGGAAGGAGATAGGAAAACGATAACGACCGTGGAGATCCACCAAACTGTCTGCCCACCGGCGCCACCGCCTCCTCTTCCTTACAAGTGGTCTGCAGGTTCGTTGGAATAATCTCCAAACAATTCCCCCTCTTCGAGTCCAACGAACACGATATCGAAACGATATCGCATCATTGTTTTCCGAAAAAAAAAAAAAAAGGATGGTATTATCGAAATCCATTCCCACCTCGCGCGCAAATACCTTCCTTTCTCGGTTGGGGGCGGAAGGGGAGAGAGAGAGAGAGAGAGAGACAACTTAATTAACGAGAGAAACGACCCCCTGTACCGTTTCTGATTCTCTTTACAAAGATGGATCGTAAACGGGTGTCGTTTCTGTTCGCAGGAGAACGGCGCACAGGAAGGAGATAGGAAAACGATAACGACCGTGGAGATCCACCAAACTGTCTGCCCACCGGCGCCACCGCCTCCTCTTCCTTACAAGTGGTCTGCAGGTTCGTTGGAATAATCTCCAAACAATTCCCCCTCTTCGAGTCCAACGAACACGATATCGAAACGATATCGCATCATTGTTTTCCGAAAAAAAAAAAAAAAGGAATGGTATTATCGAAATCCATTCCCACCTCGCGCGCAAATACCTTCCTTTCTCGGTTGGGGCGGAAGGGAGGAGAGAGAGAGAGAGAGAGGAAGAGAAATGCGTCGTAAACAAACGCGGTTCAATCGCGTTGCAGATACGAAGCCAATGAACGCGAAGGGTATGCAAATGGGCAGCACAATGTCGATGGGCAGCACAGGCTCGACCGAGACCGAGTCGAGCCTCGAGTCTTCCTGCAGCAAGGATTCCGCCTCGACCTCCTCGTCCCTATCGACGTCCTCCTGCGAGCCACCGTCGACCGTTTCGTTCGGCTCGATCACTGCCACCTCGGCCAATAAAACGAACGACACCACGGCACACGCAACGTCCCGTAATTGCGCCACAAGGACATCTCCGATCGCCTGCACCGATCTCGGCACCGCCATCACCCAGGAATTGCAGAGGCGGGCGCAGCAGGTACGAGAGTCGAGCGATTTTTCCTCCTCCCCCTCCCCTTCGTCAGACGAAATAATACACCGGCTGGATCGCGTTACCCGCTTGTTTATAAGTATTATCGTACGCGTTACGTATGGAATCCCGATTTTTTTTTTTTTTTACATCGTATCGATCGATTCTTCGCGAGAGATCTTTTTTTTTTTTCCTTTTTTGCAAAACAACAACAGCGTCTAGATTCTCTTGCGGCTGAACTGGCGCCTGTCAGACGAGACGATATTCGTCGCTGTTTGAATTGGAATTTAGAATCGCTCGTGTTTTTTTAATACCTATTGTTTTATATTGCGCTCGTATTTCGCTTCGTAATTTACGAATCCCTCGAAGTGAAGGAAAAAAAAAAAACAGAAATAACTTTTCGAATATTTTGTCGAATAATCGAAAGAATTCTGTTCCACGCATATCACGGGTATTTTATTCCTTCTCTTTGCGTATCTCGTGCGTCATCTTCAAAGATAACGTTAGCCTCGATAGATAACATAATTCCTGCAACATAATTTCTAATCTATACCAATAATGCAAAGTTTCGTTCATACTTTCAAACTTGTTTTTAACTCGATTTTTTAATTATGCTTGTGTCACTTGAGTTTGCACAATTCGAGCACATCTCTTTATCGATCGATGTGACTCACGACTCATCGATATTTTCTCACGTTATGATTAAGCATCGCGAGATAATCCATTGATGACACGATAGATGATATATATATATATATATCTATGCACATTGATCCCTTGCAGAGGAACATGAACAACGCGGCAAAAACGGAAGCAGCGAGGGAGAAGGCCGTGGAACCGCGAAAGCCGCAAAATCCGGAAGCTCTGAGGGCGCAGGAACAGAAGGTTACGCACGATAAGGTAGTCGATATTTGTAATGTTGCGATAAGCAACAGTTCTCCCTCTGATTCTGAATTCCTCGAATCCACTTGTCGCAACGAATCAGTCCGATCGTTGACGCGTGATTTAAATCGACGAAATGCCGATAAAGTTACATTCCAATCCGCTCTTCCCTCCGTGACTTTTGAACTTTAACTAAACTCCATCCAACTTCGCTCGACTCGTAGTGCATTCGTAACGTTTGCAACACGTTTCGTATCGCGCATTCGAGAACCTGATTCTCGTATCAACAACAACACCCACTCGATTCCTTCCGCGGCATCCCAACGCTTGTCAACGCTCGCAAAAGTTCGTTCACTCCCAACCGAAATATCGGGAGACGATGATTATTAATATATCGATCGAGTTAATCGAATCGCGTTCTCGAAGCGAGTCGTAAATCGTCCGATAACTTTATTCGCGCATTTTTTCACGATCGAGGCGAGAAGGTGTATAAACAAAAAAAAAAAGGAAAAAACAAAAAGCGTAATTAAAACGCATGCTGAATACGGTAATAATAACGCGAGTAGAGAGAGAGCAGGTCTAATTAAAAAATTATCGCGCGATGTTGCAAACGATCCAAGTTTCGTACGACGAAAGCGTTCAAACGACGAGTTCAGTTCGCGAGCGTACGCGGATCGAGCGGGTCGCAAAATTTCACCGCGTCCACCTCTTTCTTCTCCATCCGTTGATCCTCCGATTTATCTTCGATCGAAGGAATAAGGAATTGAACGGAGGACGAGATAAAGAGAGGAGATAAAAAAACACGCGTTTATCCTTGTTTCGCAGTTGATGGAGGAATTCAAACGTGCCCACCGAAAGATGTTCAACACCGCGCAGCAAAAAGTCCATTTCTCCGATCAGGTGGCCTCCGACCAGGTAAGACAAAGTTAAGATAAGCTTATCGAACTTTCGACGACGAGTCGATTGTTCGTTGTTTTTTTTTTTTTTTTTTTTATTCTCGAATACGCGATGAACCACGTATCTTCGGTTGATCGGAAGAATCGCGATATTCCTTCGTTGTTGCCGCGACGAACGATTATATCTTTCTCGGAATCACCCACCATTCTTTCGACTTTCGAGAAATTTTCTAAATTGTTAATGACCGCGAGGTATGTAACAAGCGAGGTGTACGTAGAGAGAGATGTTGATTTCTTCATCTCTTGATCTCTTTCATCGTTCACGTTCTATCACAAACACGTTAAAATACGTTACAGCCAAGTAAAGTTCCGACGTTTACTATTATACTTTCACCGTTTCCTTTCTTCGACGGTGAAGACGTTACAGCTTTTGATCGCGCTCGATGGATAAAATTCCTGAGGTACGAGTTGATCGAACAGGGGGCAACGTCTGCGCTTCGATAAAAAAGAAAAAAAAAGCGGAACTGAGGATAACAAACGATTAATTAAAAATCCTTGTTAAACCATCCATTACGAAATTGAACGCGAATCTCGAGCATCTTGCTTGGCAACCAAGAGAGATTCAATAGCGATATGAAAAAGAAAAAGAAAGAAAGGAAGGAAGAAGAAGAAGAAAAAGTAAATAAATAATATTTCGATCTTTCTCGAAAAACGACACGTTGCGCGCCGGTTGCGCGTTGTTACGTCTCGCTTTTAATTACACAACCTTCTTTTTAAATATCTGGCAAAGTAAATAGATGATAACGAGACGCGTTACGAAGAATTTGAAGCCGATCATTGTTTGCGAGCCGCGAACATGTGTGCAGCACGCGCAATACGCTCAGCTGCACCTGAATTCACGCTCAATATACGTATTTACGAGCCACGTTTATTAACTGTTATACACGCGGTGTTATATATCGTTCGAATCGGCAAGATAGAGAGCGATCTGCTCTCTCTTATAATCGCGCAACTCGCTACGTCTCGTCTCAGTCCGAGTGAATCTGCCGCGCGATTCGAACCTGGCGTTCCATTAATTCCCGGTTAGATCAAATCGCACGCGTTCTAATTAAGAATGACGATCGATCACGAGTGAAAAATCTTTCCGAATCTTTCGACGGCTCGAACTGGCTAATTAACCATCCCGCGACGAGGATCGATCGAGCGATTGTTCTCCGCCGGATCGAAGAAAAAAAAAAACGTGGCTCGAATCGCGACATTCTTGAGAAAATCAACCGTGAATTCGATGAATCATTATATTATAATCCACGTTATCGGTGTTGTCAAACGTCGTTAATAAACGGGCGGTTCAACGGTTCGTTCGAAACAGTGGATGCACGGTGTTCGATCGGTTCGAATGCACGCGCGAGTGATCGAGCCCCCTCGATCGTACGTGGATTTCCCCAGGTCGCGACGCGACGCTTCTTACGAATTGCGGCAGACGTGGAAAATAATAGAGCTTACATAAGAAGGAGTAACCGGCTGCGACTGTTTTCAGTCGGCTCGAATCGTCGTGCGATCGGTTTCAAGGTAGTCACCGCGCGTCACAACTGTTGTCGCGAAAATAGGAGCGATTAACGAAAAAGCTGCGATTTAACGTAAACCGCAGCCAACCACGAACCAAAGACGAGTATAATTGGGAGGGAAAAGTAGCGAGGACGAATATATATATATATATATAAATATAAACGTTCGACCTCGAGTTCCACGACCGTGCGCAAAGTGCGCTTCTCCGAAAGGCTGACCGTACGTTAAACGAGTCGGAAGTGATTTACAAAAAGACGGTTGAAATTGAACCGTTATGCGCCGCTGCTGTCCGTGCTCGAAGCAGAAGGAAAGTTAATCGAAGGAAAAATGGTCTAGACTTTTGAAACCGAAGAACCATGAACGGTTTGCCGAGCAACGGTGAACGGACGAGCCGCGTGCTGGTTACCATCACGCCATACCATGTTAGTTATCGAATTTTTATCTCACCAATTAGCATTTTTAACGATTATAATTAACGCTCTCCTTTAATCTACCTACGTATCGTTACGCGGAAAATTTTTACTCGTTGCAACATTTAAAACGTTGCGTTGAAGCGAACGAGTACACGAGTTTGCAGAGAAATTTAAAATATCTATATTTCTACGTGCATTACTTCGTATTCTACGTACGTACGTACTCGCGTCTAAAAATAAATCACAAATATTACTCTTTTTTCTTTATCGTATACAAATTTACCTTGGTTAAGTTTTTACGCAACGTTTTTACAATAGCCTCTTACCTTACATTAACTCTCGTTCTTCAACTGTCGCCTAGGAACAAGAGAAAAGGGTATTGAACAACGCGACGTCAACGCCACCAACGATACCAACACCACCGGCCATACCTCCTGCGCCTCCTGCGCCGCCGGCGCCTCCTGCACCGCCTACGCCGCCATCTGCGCCACCGGCTCCGCCACCGCTTCCGCTTCTCACCAAGCCCAAGAGTATCGAGGATTCTGTCGAGATGCAGAGCATAGAGTCTTTCAAATTGAAAGAGACGCCGAACCCGGTAATTCCGAAGCCCCCGCCCACCTATTTCCCCATACAAAATTCCGTGTCCAACGGAAGTCCGCGACACGGGGCCGGAAACAAGGCCCAGGTGAACGGGAAAGAGTCGTCGTGCTCGTCGAGCCCGGTATCGGAGACGGCGAAAACAGCAGCGCCACCGCTAGCCACGAACGCGCAAAACGTGAAACCATCGAGCGGAAAGGTGGCCATTAGGATAGGCGCGTACGAAGGGGAAGCGAAACAACCGTCTAAACTCGACTTCCTGTCGCAACAGTCTCGCGCAGATAGAAACGGCACGGACGAATTGGCGAATGGGCCGGTCGTGTCCAGATTGCAGAACGAATTGGCTGCCACGTTGCAAAGATCGAACCTAAGAAGAAAGACTGACGGGGTGAGTAGTTTAATTCTCTCGACCGAGGCGAAAAATAGTTAAAAATTTCGAATAAAGTTTCATATATAATTACTCGTTATTAAAATGCTACGAATAACGTTTGCTCGTAGTTATCATAGTTGATCCGCTTTTCGTATCAACGCTTTGGCGCCACTAGTCGTCAGTGATTATTATTATTATCGTTTCAAACGAAAAAATTATTGAACTAACTTATCCAAGTAAATTATTTTGCCCATCACTCTGGATCACGCTCGTGCTTCGAAATATTAACCAATTTCACTTGAATAAATCGAATTATCTCTCTTTAATTCAAATTATTCTTTTATCCACACTTTTACGTTATATAATATTAGAAAGAGATGTAAAGAAACTTGATTCGAGTTACGAAAATAACAAGTTTTTGCTTGTTGTTATTCTATTCGTTTACAAAAAAAAAAAAAAAAAAAAAGGAAAAAAAAACGAAGATCGGTGCGCGTGTAAAAAAAAAGTTATTATTATTATATCGTTGGTAGATAAGCACAACGCTGTTGGAAATTGTATGTCAGGTAGCATACGATAAAGGCAGAAATTAAGTTAATTATACGTGTATACGCTAAACAACGTGATCGTGAGGCGACGAGCGAGGAATTTCAAGGAAATAGTTGCGTATATATATATATATATATATATATAGTTCGACTAACGTTACTACTTGTTCGTTACC